AAGAAATAAAGACTTTTTCAGACATACAGAAACTGAGGGAATTTACTCCCAGAACACCTTCCATTGAAGGAAATACTCAAGGAGGTTACTCTACTAGAGACAAAGAACAAAAGTTAACAAAACTATGAGTAAAATCACTAACATGCAGACAGAAGCAGTATCATTTTTAAGAATAGGGTACTACACACTTCAATATTTCATTGAGATTAAAGACGGTAACAACATTAAAAAGGAAGAAGAACACAATACCTACTACAATTCAGAAGTGAACTCACAGAATAAATAGGGTACAAAATAAATACCCAGAATTCAGTTGCATTTTTATAAACCAATAATGAGCTAACAGAGAAGAAAATTAAAAATAAACATTCAAAATTGCTTCAAAAAATAAAATACCTAGAATTAAATTTAACCAAAGATGTAAAGGACCTGTACTCAGACACTGAAAATAAATGGAAAAAGATACAAGTTGAGTGGAAGCATATACTGTCTTCATGGATAGGAAGAATTAACATCATTAAAATGTCCATAGTATCCAAACCAATCTATAGATTCAACACTACCCTTACCAAGATACCACTGACATATTTCACAGAACTAGAAGAGATGCTCCAAAAATTTATATGGAACCGCAAAAGATACCGAAAACCACAGCAATCTTAAGAAAGAAGAACAAAGTTGGAGGAATCGCACTAGCTGATATCAAACTATACCACAAGGCCATAGTAATCAAACCAGCATGGTACTGGCATAAAAACAGACATATAGATCAATGGGACAGAATAGAGACTTTAGAAATAAACCTGTGCCTTTTGGTCAGTTAATATTTGACAAAAGAGGCAAGAACATACAATGGGGTAAAGACAGTCTATTCAACAAATGGTGTTGGGAAAATTGCACAAATATGTGAAAAAAGGGAAACTAGACCACCTTCTTATACCATACACAAGAATAAACTCAAAATGGATTAAAGGCTTAAATGTTAGACTCAAAACCATAAAAATTCTAGAATAAATCATAAGAAGTAAAATCTCAGGCATTTCTTATAGCAATATATTTTTTGTGATCTATCTCCCCAGGCAAGGGAAACAAAAGAAAAAAATAAACAAATGGGGTTACTCAAACTAACAAGCTTTTTCAGAGCAAAGGAAACCATCAACAAAATGAAAAGACAACCCACTGATTGGGAGAACATACTTGCCAATGATATATCTGATAAGGGGTTAATATTAGAAACTTATAAAGAACTTGTATAACTCAACACCAGAAAAACAAACAAGCCAATTAAAAAATGGGCAAAGGACCTGAAGAGACACTTCTTCAAAGAGAACATACAGATGGCCAATAGATATATGAAAGAAAAGATGTTCAACTTCACTAGCCATTGTAGAGATGCAAGTTAAAACTGCAATGAGATATCAATTCACACCTGTTTTAATGGCTATCATCAATAAATCAACAAACAACAAGGGTTAGCGAGATGTGAAGAAAGGGAACCCTCTTGCACTGCTGGTGGGAATGCAGATTGGTGCAGCCACTGTGGAAAATAGTGTGGAATTACCTCAAAAAATTAAAAATGGAACTGCATTATGATGCAGCAATTCCACTTCTGAGAATATACCTGTAGTAGCCCAAAGCACTAATTTGAAAGAATATATGAACCCCTATGTTCATAGAGTTATTTACAGTAGCCAAGATTTGGAAGCAGCCTTAGGCTAAGTGTCCACTCAGCCTAAGATGAGTGGATAAAAAAGCTGTGATACATTTACACAATGGACTACTACCTGGCCATAAAAAAAAACAAGGAAATCTTATCTTTTCTGACAGCATGGATGGACCTGGAGAGCAAGCATTATGCTAAGTGAACTCAGCCAATCAGAGGAAGACAAATGCCATGTGATTTCACTTATATGTGGGATCTAATGAACCAAATAAACTAACAAAACAGAAACAGACTCATAGATATTAAACAGACTGACAGCTGTCAAAGGGGAGGGGGTTTGGGGCTGGGTGAAAAAGGTAAAGGGACTAAGCAAAGAAAAAACCTCAAAGATAACAGCATGGTGATTATCAGAGGGAAAGGGATGTGTCCATGGAGGTAGAAGAATGTAAAGGAAGAAAAAATGGTGAGAGGAGGAGGCTTGACTTTGGGTGGTGAACACAGTGCAATACACAGATGATATGTGACAGAATTGTACACTTGAAATCTATATTTATTAACAATATTTCCCCCAATAAATTCAATTTAAAAAATATAAATAACTAAATAGTTAAATTTCATCCTATCTCAGGAACCAAATTTTATGTTGTTTATAAAATGCATAAATAGTAATTTCTCCAAATGCAGTTGCCAAAGGTTGTTAACAGTGTTACATAAGCATTTATATTTCTGGGCAATAGGACATCTGTTTTCATTTTCACTTTAAGCAAGAAGTTCTTTTTTCTATAAACAGGACTTAATTTTCTCCCTCCACTGCCAGAGCTTGTATAAGACCAGCATCCTTAAAAAAGGAAAAAGAGAAGTCTGGGAGGCCTCAGAGCTCTCTCATTGAAGATGGAGGTACAGCATTGTGTTGGCATTTGAGGTAACAATGAAGGCCGAGGATGCTTATGTTCAGTTAGGGACAAGAGCATCTGATCTGATCAGAACTGTTTCCCCAGTTGGCTGGTCTAGTTATCAATTGTTTCTTAGGGAGGAGTAATAAGAGACATTTTGCTATCCCTTAGGGGCCCTTCATAGTTTTCTGTCTATATTAATGCACAATAAACTTCATGGACTTCTTATTAGATGGTGTGAATGCAGTCGTTATCAACCATTCACTCACAACTGATAACAAAGCTCTATTATACAGAACCTTCTATGTGTGATCATATTTAAATACTTGGGCAGGTAAATCATCTGATTCTTGGAGTGAGCAAAGATATTATTAAATAATAAGGCTTCCAGGATTTGTTCTACAGTGGTTTTCTTCTTTAATTTTTTTAAACTTTTTTTTAGATTTTATTTATTTATTTTTAGAGAGAGGGGAAGGGAAGAAGAAAGAAACATCGATGTGTGAGAGATAAATTGATGTGTGAGAGATACATCAATCAATTGCCTCTCATAGCCCCCTGCCGGGGACCTGGCCCAGAACCCAGGCATGTGTTCTAACTGGGTAACAAACCGACCTTTTAGTTCACAGGCCAGTACCCAGTCCACTGAACTACACCAGCCAGAGCTAAAGTGGTCTACTTCTACCTAAGTATACTGCATCTCAAGCTCACACCAACTCTTCAAATTAGATATTACCTTGCATTTTACTATTGATAAAGAACAAACACACACAGCAGGGTATGATATGATTGGCTTTAAATGGAGATCTTTAGGAAAAGGGTAAAAGAGGAGATGGTGAAGTTAAGCTGAGGGTATAAATGAAAGACATGTTGAAGTGATTGGTGGTGGGGTAAGGATGAGTAAAGAAAAGAGAGAAGTTAGGAATGAGTGCATCAACTGGAAAACAAAGATTAGGAGGTAGGTCTTGATTTGTTCTTGGTCTGATGACAATTTCTGTTGTTTCCCTAAATTTGTTTAGTTGTGAGATCTGATACTTCTTCATCCAACTCTAACAAAGCTAAAATATCTTTCTCAACCAATGTCCAAGATTTTAATTTTTGAGTAGATGCAAGAAGTAATAAGAAGGTAATGTGTGTTGTGAGCTCGACTAGGCTATAAAGCTACAAAGACAAGCTCTAATTCCTTTCTTCAGAAGTGTCACTCGGCTAAGGGCAGGCACACATGCAGGTAATTAGCCTCTGGTATGACGAGTCCAGAATAAAGGCAAATAGAGGGCGCTTTGGAGCACAGAAGAGGGACATTTTACAGGAAACCAGCAGGAGCTAGGAAGTCTCTTCCTGGAAGATACTGATCTTTGATGCAAGACTTGAAAAATGAGAGGGCAGTGTGGTGTTGGTGGCACTTCAGATGTAGGGTGGGAAGGAAGAGCACAATCAGAAATGAATATTGCTAAGGGGGGCAGGTTCCACAGCGCAAGTGTGGGACTAGCATGTGGTGAGGCCAGAGGGGTTAGCAGGGTCCAGGGTGGCTGAGGGGACCATGGGTGTTAAGCAAGAAGGTCATACAGTGAATCTGTTTTAAGAGAGATGTCTCTGGTGGCAGAGTGCAAAAAGTACTGAAGAGACAGAAAGATCACACATATTTTAATATAATTTAATATTTTAATATAACTATCTCCAGGTGAACATTTTTTTAAGTGTGATGGTTACTGTCTAGAATTAGTTCTTGATATTTCATTAGAGTGTTGTCTTCTTTATCACCTGCACAAATCCAGATGTCTTACACCAGGAATGTTCAGCAAACAAAAAGAAAAAGAATAGGAGAGCCCTCAGCATAACGTAGGGCAGAGGAGTAGAAAAGACTCTGCAGCTCACAGCTCACAGAACAAAAAGCAGTGGACTCTCGGAAGAACAATGAGAGACCTGGGCTCACGGCACCTGTGCAATGGCATGTGTCGCAGAGACATGCAGGTGTTTTCTGTCTGCACCCTTCATTTGGCAAAGGGAAAAAAGGCTAGGAAAATAACATCCCAAGGGTTTACAGTAAAATATTTTTGAAAAATATTTTTCTTCCATTACACTTCAAAGGTAAAAGAACATTTTTTATTCATTTTAGAAATCTGTTGAAGAATAATAGTTCAACCAGCTATGTGAACTTAAACATTTCTCATCCATTCTAGTATGAACTAGTTTGGTTGAGTAAGGACAGGAATTTGTGTCATTTTCTAAGATCTCCTCACTAATTGCATTGAATCTTCTTTTTTTTAATGATTTATGCTGAACCAAATGAACTGAGTCATAGGCTTCAAACCTTATGTTCCTTTCCAGGTTTCATATCCCAAGTTAGAATTTTTAGGTGAATAAGCATACTTTGAAATTATATCATTCTGTTGCACTTTATCACTCTTAGACAGTGAGAGAGCTGGCTTGGATTAATTGCCACTTACAGAAGGTGCAGTGGGCACCAGGTCGTCTTCTGTTCTTCCTGTCTGCATTGCAGTGTGAACCCGGACGGATTCGTAAATGGAAGGTTCTTCCACTTCTCTTGGATAGGGATGTTTCAGAACAATCAGAGTGCCTGAATGAAGGAAGAGTGAGAAACCATAATCAAATAGTTTCCTCAGAAAGAAGGTCCAAATGTTAACAACCAGATAATTGTGTCTGGACTGTAGTCCCTTGTTTCTTCATGCATTCACTTGTCTATTTTCTCAACATTTTTCAAGTACCAACTATTTACCAAGCACTCAAGCAGGACACTGGGGATACGAAGCATGGTGAGATGATTTCTGGCTCCCTAGTGCTCAGAGAGAACTATCAATGGATATCCCTTAACAGTCATTTAAATGAACAGGATAAGAGACAATGTCAGCCACAGGAACAAAGCACACTGGTGGCTCCCAGAGGCCCTGAAGAACAGCCCCTCTACAAGAGGTGATATTGATCTAGACCTTAAGCAATGACTGAAAATTTTTCAGGTAGACTTTACAAAACCCATAAAAACAAACTCAATGTACTCACTGGGATATAGGAGGACTTATTTCACTGCTCTTACTATTTCCTCCTAGTTTCAGAACAAACTTGTAACAAATCACTGGATCTCAAAAAATCGAACTCACAGTTTCTTTCTACTATCTCCTACCACCCAATTAATGAAATAAGCTAACCAAAGCCTTTGCGTGTCTTAAGAAAACATAATGTGAATACTCATTTCTATTGGAAGAAGGGACCACCAGGTTTGGGGGGCTGGTTCACATCATTCAGGGGCTGAGAACAGTTCTGTCTCTGCATTTCTGCCCCAAAGTCTGAAGGTTCCCCCTTCTGACCCTTTCCTTCCCCCAATCAATCAGTCAATCAGAAACTAAAAACTTTGACTGCAGATAAGTAAGTTAAGCGTTTTTCCTCCTTAAATAGGGCTTCCTTTTTATTTTACCAGGGTCTCTCATGGCAGGTTTAGGATTATACTAGACACTGGGGGAGATTAAAGAATTCAGTGATTCATTCAACAAATATTTACTGAGCTCTGCTATATGTCAGCTACTTGTCTACATACAACAGCAAACAAAGGAGATATAGCATGTGCTCTCTGGCAGGGCAGACAGAAAAAATTGGAAAAAAGAATATATCAGGTGAGAAAAATGTTTTTGAACAAACCAATAGAGCAAGGTAAAGGAATAGAGACAAAAAGCATAGGATTGGGCAAGGATAATATTTGTATGGTTGTCAGAAAGACTCCTTTGAAAAGGTAATTTGAAGGATTGTAGAAAGTAGAGACCTTAAAATGGAGTAACAGAAAGGCCATGAGGAAATACCTTCTGTGTAGTTATAAAACCCTTATTAATAATGATAAACCTGCAAACAGAATTAAACATTTTTGTGGTGCTTAGGTACACACAAATGCACTCACTAGGCAAACACAACTGGGGCTTCTAATATGTGGACCCAGATGATGCACTGCTGAGAATAGAAAGGAGCGTTGGGAAAGGCCAAAGGAGGGTTTCTAATCTTGTTTCCAGTAAAGAATGGGAGACTCTGGTCTCCTCCTCTTTCTGCATTGAGCTCATGGTGGTAGCATGGGGATCACAGTGAAAATGGCCTTGTGCAGTTATCAGAAGTCCCAGTCCTGCTCTCACACATTGTCTGTGCCTCTTTTGTCAATGTGATCCTTTCATCAGAACAGATCTAGTCATAACAGGACTTGGGTCTGGTTAGTTTCATAGTCATAATGAAAGCAGCGACACCTAAATGAAGAGCAGCCGTTGTGCAGGCTCTGGGCTGTGTGAACACAGTTGTAACATGGCAGATGCCCCTATGTGGCCCTCCAAACCCTCCAGCAATGCGCCTGCCATCAGTCACCGTGGTGTCATGGAAATAGCTAACACTGCCACTCAGTGCCAGTTGACCTTGGACAATCATTCTAGCGATTGTTTGCTCCTCTGGCAAGTGAGAATAATTGACCTTTTCTTCACAAGGTTGTTTTAAGCACCAATAAAGAATTATTTGTGAAAGGATTATAAAAATGTTAGCTGTTATACTTTGATATAGAATATTTTTAAAACCTTAAAAGAAAGTCCAATGTTCTCATCCTTGGGAACATGAATTTTAAAATGTTAAGTTAAAAAAGACCAATGTGCAACATTCTGCTGAGAATAACAATGGCAGTTGCCTGGTAGTCACTGACTGCAGAGGTAAGACATGTCAGTGCCTCTTGAACACTTCCGTACGACAGTGGAGGACGGGGAACTGGAGTGCAGGTGCCAAAGCAGTTCACAAGTTAGAACGAATGTGAAATCTTGTGCTTTATCTTCAAAGATGATGCTAAATTTTTATCCTGTTCCATATAAAAATCGTTTTTTTAAGTGATGCTCTAGAAGGATGAACCTACTCCATCTTCTTTCTGCATGTAACCAGGCATACATACCCCAGGCATACTCCTATTGATTCTATTTTCTTATTGCTGCTTTAACAAATCACCACAAGTGTAGTGACTTAAAATAACTGAAGTTTATTATCTTACAGTTCTGGAGGTTGGAAATCTGAAATGAGTCTCACTAATCTAGAATCACAGAATTGACAGAGCTGGCTTCCTTCTGGAGGCTCTAGAAGAGAATCCATTCCTTGTCTTTCCAGCTTCTAGAGGCTGCCCGCATTCCTTGACTGGTGGCCACATTTATCTACTTTCTAAGCCAGCAACAGTGGGTCAAGTCTTCTCATGTGGCAATGTTTCTGGTTGTTCCTCTTCTGCCTTTGTCTTTCACTTATAAGGATGCTGGATAATCCAGAATCACCTCCCTATCTCAATGGCAGCTGATTAGTAGGGTTAATTAATCTGCAAGCTTAATTCTCTCTCACCATTAACATAACTTATTCACAGGTCCAGGGAGAGAGGTGGGCATTTTGGGGGGCCATTATCCTGCCTACCACAGTATCGATGCCTGGGAGAGCACAGCTATAGGGGCAGTTGCACTGCTGTATAAGGATCTCTGGGCTAGTGTTGCTCAGAGAAAGTGCAGTGCTGTAACCACTTGGTATTATAAAGCCACTGCCTTTACAACAGACACATTTTCAAATCTTATGAGTTCCTCAGAGCAGGTATGGTTCCAAATTTATCTTTGTATACCCATCTCTTGACAGAGTTTCTGACATAATGAAGTCTGGATGAATGAGTGAGTGAGTGAATCAATGAATGAATGAATGTCACAGTAATTCAGGTGTAAGGCAGGAAAGAGTCTGGGATGGACCAGCCTCCAAGGTCTACAACCATCTTGACCCAGGCCACTGACAGGACAACTTCAAGTGCAGCTTTCCAAGTCTCCATTGGGGGCACCCAAATTCTATCTTGAAATCCTCTTCTAAAGTTTAACCAATAAAGGCTAAACTGAAGGACATGATATTGAGTCAACCAAGAAAGTAGAATTGACTATTCTACTAGTTAAAAATTGACCATTGACTAGTTAAAAATTAATTTTAACTAGTAAGACCATGAATGAGGCTACATTGAATGGTGGCATGAAGAAAATGATAAATTACTTAAAAAATGGTAACTTTCCCTGATAAAAATTTGGTTTCCTAAGAGACAGTTGTCCTGAGTTGACCATTCTGCCCAAGGAAGGGCCAATATACAGACTTCTTGATATGGCCATTAGACTTACAATGATTTCCCCTTCTGAAGAGACCATCACATCCCAATACAGAAGTAGATTCCAGACCCTGGCCTTCCCCTAAACACCTCATCTGGGCTGCACTCACTGGACTCACTTCCTAGAGATCTTGTTTAGGCACATCTGTGGAGAGAAGGTCCACTAACTTCAGTTTCACAAGTACATACATACATGAAGGAAACTGTTCTTTCCTGACTTTGACATAAAGCCCAGTTTCAAAAACACTTGGTGGAGGTACATTTTTGAAGTGATCAGAGCAGGACGAAGGCAAGCATTTCAATTTTCTGAAAGCTTCAGAGCTGTCATGATCACTGGGCTGGTTCCTTATTGTTGTTCAGCTTGTCCTTATATTCTTAGAGGAAATACTAATATCCTTCCAAAAAATTCCACTTCTCTCCTATATCCTTCTTTTTAAAAAAAAAAATAAGCTTGTAGGCATTGGTTTCTGTGATTTTCAATCAAAAGAAACTTATATGATTAAGCCACTACAGACTCACTATAATTTCCACTCAAGTTTCGAGATAGTGCCTTGGCTCCATAGGAGAAGAACTCAGGGTTAATGATATCCCAAACAGATTAACTCCAGGACTTAGTTGGAAGATTCAGATAAAAATCAACTGGAGGCAGGGCTGGTAGAAGGAGAAGAGAGAGGAGGATCAGCAACCACAGGTCTTGGAAACCTGGCTGCTAGTTTCACTTCAGTTTCTGTGCTACATGAAGACTTGTTTCCTGCCTTTGACTGAAACTTGGTTTCAGAAATGCTCAGTGGAGGTACATTTTTGAGGTGATGAGAGCAGGACTGAGGTAGGCATTTCAATTTGCTTTGACTAAACTGTAACTTATAGGACACCTACTCTCTATGTAATAGTGTGAGACTGCATTGGAGGAACTTATCTTGTATTGGAGCAGAAAGAGTAAGAACAGTCTCAGGCTCAGGGTATCAGTGTGATATCTGAAATACAGTATAGTGCAAGAACACACATCACTCCTGAAGGGGAAACTTTAGGATATTTCTTTTATGCACTAAATCTAGTGCTTTACTCATCAGGTTCCCCAGCTGGACTGTAAGGTGTTTAACGGCGAGGATGATATCTGATTCATCACCAGATTGTCAGTGGCTAACAGTACCCAGTTTTTAGTTGGCACTCAATGTCTATTTGATGAATTATATTAACATAAGATCACATCCACTCATGTTTCATTATTGACCTCAGGCTCAGAAAACAGGCTTTGCAACTGGCTTATGCATGATGGGCTCCTCTCTTTCTTCCTGCCAGTGGGAAGTAGCTTTCTGGTGGAATCAGGGGGTGGGTTTAGAAATATTCAAGATTTATCTCCTTTCTTCTTTATAACCTGCTATGTAAGTGGACTTTAGCTCATCATAAAATGGTGCTAGTTGAAACACAATTCATTTACAAAG